CGGAGCACTCGATGTAGGATGCGGCTTTTATTTCCTCAGCACAGAGCTTTGCAGCCTCCTCCGAGACTGGCTTTTCTTTGCACTTGTCCAGCTCGATGAGGACTTTGACATCCTCCCGGAGGTCTGACTGTGTCCCAACCAGGATAATGGGTGCCTTGGGGCAGTGGCAGCGAATTTCGGGAACCCACTTCTCGCTCACGTTCTGGAAGGATGAAGGGCTCACCACGCTGAAGCACAGCAAGAAGATGTCCGTGTTGGTGTAGCACAGAGGCCTGAGCTTGTCGAATTCATCCTGCACAGAACAAAACTCTGTTAGCACTCCACAGAAAGAGCAGCTCTAGCCTGCCCTGAGCCTTGGGGAAGCTGAGGGCCATCTGCCACTGCCATTTTGACAGGCACCCCAAAATGAGCACCCAGACCACTCAGCAAGGTGTGACACAAGCAGAAGTCACCTGTACCCAGCCTGAGGTCTCGTGGCTGGAAGCCAGCAGGCACCCTGCCACCATCGGGCACACAGGACAAAGGTGGTGGCTTCCCTGCGTACCCGCGATTTTCCAATTAATGCTGCAGGTTATTTAAAGTGCTTAAATATTTCCTCTGCTCTTTGCACACAGGCCGTCTGCCCTACTTCAGCAAAGAAGCGAAAGTGTGGGAAGCGGGTTATGGCACACACATCCACAAACTGAAGCGGGAGAGAGCACTTTCTCCAGACCCACCTCTTGCAAGGTGAGTCAGTGAGCAGCTCTGAGGAGAGCACCGTGTACCTCAAAGCTGTTCTGCTGACAGACAAGGGCAAGGGTAAAGCAGATATGCAGCAGCATGTGTACCTTTCTGGGTACCTTTCCTGGAGTCTGCTTTTAAACTGGTAACTACTTAGCAACATCCCACAGGATATGGGAATAATTTCCCTGCCATTGTGCCCAGGGATTTAAATCTGATGGGAGCAATAATGACTTACAATGTGCAGGCTTAACATGCCAATGGCATAGAGTAAGAGCTTTACCTTTCCCTCCCACCCATGCCACATCAAACAAACTGCACGGCGGGCCTCCCAGCAATACCCTTCTGGGTCTGTTTTTTTTTTTTTTTTTTTTTTTTTCTTTTACTGCAAACTCCAGCAAAGCAAGGCCCTTTTTCAGCTTCAGGATGCAACCACAAGAAAGTCAAACACCTCATGGTAACAAAGGTGTGCTGATCCTCAGGGAAGAATGCAGCTAGAAGCAAGGGTTACTCCAGACAGGCTGCTTTTATGCTGACAGCAGGATAAAACCAGGGTAGCACTAGCAGCCTGAAAACTGGTAGGATTTGCCTCAGCGGCAGTGACATTTAATTAAAATGGACCATGTTCACAAATGCTCTGAATTGAAAAGGCACAGAAACTTAAAGATGAATATATCTCTTAATTTACTGATGAATTTCAAGTTGCATGTTAATTTTTGAGAAGTGAAATTTTGCTTTAAAGCCTCTGGAGGCCCAGGATATGCAGTTTAAAGCCCCCTGGAAGCCTCAGAAATCTTGTTCTGCTCAAATGAATTTTTTCCAGCAGTATCTCTGGGAGAGACAGACATTTATAAAACACCAGTCAAAAAACAGTAAGATTCGTTAGGTCTCTTGATTCTCAGATTGAGTCCCAGAGGAAACCAGGCTCTCACCACTCAGCTCAAGGAAAAACCCCACATTCACTGAGAGATGCTGCTCTAAACAACAGGGCTGTTTGCAGAAAGGCACCCTGCCATGTAATTGCCTCTCCTTGCTACATCTGAAACCTCAAAAGGGCTCAATTCAATGGGTTTGGAAGCAAACCCTAGATCTGAAGGGTTTTGACTAAGATGAAACAGTTCCCTTTATATCCTAAGTACACTCCTGCCATTTCAATGGTAGGTATATGGCATGCAGCGATTCTATACCTCTTCGGGCTAGTGATGCTGAAACAGAATTTCCCTGCTGCCTGAAGTGCTTTTTTTTAGCTCCAGATTTCAGCAGCCATCTCCCAGCAGCAGTTTTATCAAAGTATCTAGCCAGGAATCTTTTACTCAGGACAATTTTTTGTCAGTTTAGATAACACCTTCATTTTAAAGGCAGTAACTTTACTCATTCCAGTTGCACTTGGGCCACCAGAGCAAACACCTTAACCATTAAGGGCAGGGAAGGCAAGGGGTGACAGGACCTGTTCACCCCTCCTGCAGCTTGCAGCTGCATTTCCACAAGCACTACATGTCGACAGGCTCTCACCCAATGGCAATTTCACCTGCCATGCTCTGCATATGAACATGCACGGCCAAGACTGTTGTAGTACCACCCCACCTCTTCAGTAGCACACAAAATCATGGGACAGTTCTGCTGTTTGACTTTATATCGCTACCTGCAGAAGGCTGTTTGTAGGATTTTAGCTCTGGTTTGTAGGGCACACTGCTGTCTACTACTGCATAGCCCTTAAAACCCCATTCCTAAGTAGGGCACCCAGTTACTACTCATCTAAATAGGTTTGTATGTTAAGACCACTGAGATTTTTCAGCGTGGTTTTGGTGAAGGCATAGACCTAGATCCACAAAGCTGCAAGGACCCTAACTCCCAGCGCCTTCAAATGCAGTGACGTAGCAAAATATTTTTGGCTACTTTTGGTTATCCAGCATTGACCCCTGGCAAGCAACACTGCACACTGCTGAGGGTGGTACAAGCCTGGGTCTTCCAGAAAATCTGAGGTGGTAAGACATGGGCTTTTTTCATCTATCAGGCAAAGTAGGAGATGAGAGGCATCAGCCACCCTCATCTCTTCAGGTTGCAGATTACAGCAAACCTCATCTTTGCAGAAGCAGCACTTTCTAAACGGGTGGGAATGGCGAATATAAAGCCTCCATGGACAACACCCAATAGTACTTTTTTCTCCCTTCAGCTCCTGTCCCTTCAAAAACACAGTCTCTATCTCTGGACACCTACAGCTGTGGTTGCTTTGCATGTGTTTGTGCCAAACACCCTAATTCTTAAACTTGCAGTTATTAAGCACAAATAAAGACAGTGACAACCGCTCGAAGAGAAAACCAGGTGGCCGTTGAATCCCCAATATGTTCAGCCTTTCTAGGCAGCCTAAACAGAGCTGCAGCTTGAGCCAGCAGAGCAGCAGCCTGTGCCCAGCCCCTATATGGAGAAACAGTACGTCCCCACCCTTCAACAGACACGCAAAGCAGTGAGTTAAGCAGCAGTGAAAATGACAGCAGATAATAACATGATCAAACACTGGGAATACTTTCAAATCCATGAAGTCATTTGCAGGACTACTTTGCGCAACAGCAACTTCTCCCCTCCCGCTGTCACTTAATACAAGTAAGTGGCTCCACTGACCTGACCAGCTGTGTCACAGAGCTGAAGTCTCACCGGCTTCCCATCGACAGACACAACAGCTTTCGGAGAGAAAGGAGGGAGGGGGAAAACTACGATGAATTCAACTTTACATGATTTCCGTTACAGAGAAGAAATTTAAAATATTTACCATCCCTCAGCTCTAATAGCCTTTTCTTCAATTATTGCAGATTTAACAACATAGCAGAGCTGGAAGGGAGTCCGTCGCCAACACAAGGGCGCACACAAGCAAGCCCTACAGGGCTTTCCGAGTCATTTTACTACAAGAGATGAGTTAGGCAGGGACGGCACAAGTCCTCCGTAGGCAGCGCGGAGAGCGAGCCCGGCAATCTGGGATATTCTTCTGCTAGAGGGGTTTAGCTTTATTTCCTCGTACACATTCAGCACGCCCGGGACACGAGAAGCCCCCGCTGAACCGCAGAGAAACCTCACGACTTCTCGCTTAGTAAGGGCGAGACAAGGCGAGTATTTTAAACCTGCCCTTTAGGCGCTTCCGATGTCCCCGGCAGCGCTGAGCTGCCCACCGCAGGGTTCCCAATTAAAGCCCGGCTCTGGCCGTGCGGCCGGGCATGACACTCGTTGCTAGCCTGGCTCCGGTACACCGGAGACCGGCCGGTGCTGCCGGCTGCGATGGCAGCCTGACAAGCTCGGTGCTGCTTCGTAGAGTCTTGCTCCCCATAAATACGTAATGCAATCACCGAACCGGGACATCGCGCCCCCTCCGCGCAGCGCAGCCACGGCCCCGGGAACGGCACCGGCGGGACGCGTCGCTCCCTGGGACGGCAGAACCCCCTCCCGCCGCCCCGGTGCCCGCGGTCGCCCCGGTCACTTACCGGAGAAGTTGTCGAAGGCAGTGGGGATGTACTCGGTGGGGTACCCGTTCGTGGTGTAGCTCACCACCAGGCTGGTCTTCCCCACCGCGCCGTCGCCCACCAGAACGCACTTGATGCTGCGGCGCGGCTCGGACCCCACTCCGGCCCCGGCTCCGGCCACGGCCCCGGACCCCGCAGCCCGGCAGCGGCCGCCCAGCGCCGCTCCCAGCGCCGCCGCCGCCCGCCCGCTGCGCACCCTGCGCGGGGGCACCGGCGGCACCTCGCAGCCGCCCGGCGGCACCGGCTTGCTGATGTATCCCGCCTCGCCCTCCTGCTGCGGCGGCATCCGCGCGGCCACGCAGAGCCCCGCGGCCCGGGGGGCGACGCGCTGCCCGGGGCCGCCGGCCGGGGGGCGGCGGGGCGCGGCGGCGGGCGAGCGGTGCGGGGCCCCGGCGGGCCGGCAGGAGCGGCGCGAGCGCCGCGAAGCCAGCCCCGGCGGCGCTGGCGGCTCCCGGGCGCGGGCGGTGGCGGCGGCTCCCGGCGGCTCCCGGCGGCTCCCGGCGGCTCTGCTACCGCCGCGCCCCGCGCGCCAGAGTGCCGGCCGCCGGCCCCGCGCCGCCGCGTGACATCGCCGGCGCGGGGAGGAGCCGGCGCCGCGCGGCCCCGCGCGCCACGGCCGCCAGGCGGCGCCGCAGCGCCCCGCCCGCGCTCACCGGCGGCGGCGGGCGGGAAGAGGGGGCGGGCCCCGCCGCGCGGGCGCGTCTCTCATAGGCCCGCTCGCCCCGCCGTGCGGCGCCATTGGCTGGGTTCTGCGGAGGGGGCGGTGCCGCCAGCGCGGCGGGGCGCGCGGCCAGCCCTGCCCGCGGAGCCGCCGTGAGGGGCTCGCTGCGGGAGCGGTCCCGCTTAGCGGGGCAGGAGGGCCCTGAGGTTCGACCGGGGCTCTCCGCGTGTTCACCGGGGAAGCCGCCGAGTGAGTTCCCGCCTGCACACTTGGAGAGGGGTTAAACTGGGCCGTGTGCCGTAGGAAAAGGGGCACCTCATCTTTAGCACCTTTGAAATAAGTTGGCCGTGGAAAGTTGTGCAGTAAAACACTGAAAATGAAAGGCTGATGAATAGCCTGGCTCTGTTCTCAATTGGAAACGTTATTAATGCATTTCCTACGGGAACCTTAAAAGCACCATACAAATATGAACCACACCACCTGGAGGTGCCTCATTTGACAGGAATATATTGGAACTTAGCCAAATCAGTGTTGATAAGTCTATGGCAGAGTTGTGATTTCAGTTTGCCATTTTTAGCATCACTGAGTTGCCAGTGAGTTCTGAAGCGCTGCTTCCCTGTTTCCCTCAGTGAAGTGGAAACCCATGTGAGGCAGCGCGTGCTATAGCTGCCCATCATGCCCCATCTGTATTTCCCATGGTCACAGGAACTGACATCTTCCTGATCCTTTAAACCCTGGAGCGGTGTGGTCTAGCCACCAAAGGCCCTGCAAAGGCTCACGTCTCATGGAAAAAAGCACCCTGTACAGCTGATCTTTTCCTAAGTGCCCTGGCCTCTCCCATGGGAAGAGTCACTGTGGCTCTCCATGGGCCCATGGCTCTTTTGCACATAGACATTTTGGACATTCTGAAGCAGGGCCAAAGCCAAGATCTTCCCTGGCTGAAAGCAGCTGCAAACACCCCAGGTTGGATACACTCCAAGTGCAATTGAAGGTGTAGGAACAAAACATCTCCCTGGAGCCCCATGCCAGCTCAGCAGCGCCCACTTCTTGCAGGGAGCACAGCCAGGCAGGGATGGAGCACACCAACCGGCAAAGCATAGAGGCTCAGTGTGACCCTGAGGGACCATTGCCCCTCCTGTGGGACATCACAGTCCTGCAGAATTACCTTCCCTTAAATTAACAAAGATGGTGCTGTCACATATGGCATTAGCCCCAGAGAGCTATCACAGGGCACCTGGCTACAACCAAACCCAGCTTCCCACTGGGTGTTTTCATACATTTATCCCTCTGTGATGAAGCCTGTGAGAGATCACCCAGACAGTTGAGCTCTGCCAAAGTAGAAGGACTGGAGCAGGAGCCTGCCTGTACTCAGGCTTATACTAAAATAGCTGAAATGGCTTAATTCATACCTTAGATTATTTTGGTACAAGTCCTTGTGGGGAAGCCAAAGTTAGAACAAAAGCATTCTATTTTAATTTAGTGTAATTATAGCCTGTCTACCTAGAAAAGCTGAATTGCTTTAGAAATACTACTGCAGCTAATTCCCTAGAGTACGGATGCAGTTGTGCCAGGATAATGCTAATTTGGTTTATTCTTGTTGGGAAAGGGAAAAACATTATGTGTGCATTGCAGGCTGAGCCTTCAGCCCAGCTGGTGTTCCACTGAAAGGCCTGAGATTACGGTGTGGCTGCTGTGCTGTAATGGTGTGGGAGCTCAGAGCTACCTGGGTGTGGTAACATCTTGAATGGCGATGCTGTGGCAACAGTACAAGTTCAGTATTAGAGTGATGCAGGTGACAAATTATATATCCCTGACCAAAGTCAGGTACCAACCTCAGTAACAAAAATTGCCATGTGCTCTCCTTTTCCTTAAAGGCAGACAAAAGGAAAACTGGTATCTTGCACAGAGGCTTGTATCCCTTCTTGTGAATTGAAAACAAGTTGCTTTTCAGGGAAACTCTGCAGGTAGTCAGGATCTGCTTAAAACAAGGAGTATCTTCAGTCATTTCTGGTGAGCTGCATGGAGTGTGGAGACTAGATACTGTTATTTCTGGTGCATTTCCTCCCTACTGCTCTGTGCAGGGGACAGAGCCACATTTGCAGCCCAGTGTCACATTTTATTCTGCATGGTTCCCAGTGTAGGCCCAGCTTCCGTTTCTTGTCTCTGCACAAGGGAAGGCTGGTGAGAGGCATGCACATTGGGAAGAGATACAGCTTTTCAGGGTCAGGTTCCTTCAGAGTTTATTCTTCAGGCTCTGAGCAGCACCCAAGAAAGTTGTCTCCTGAACACATGAACTTTGATAGAAAGGCCTGTTATGCCTGAGGAGAGAGCTGTCAAGAGAAGTATCCATCTCCAAGCCAAGATTTGTGTTACCCTTCTGCCAGAGCCCAGCAGCTGGTAGTTTTCCATCTCCTAAAATCCAGAGGAACTTTCCACCTCAGGGAACAAGAAATTGGAGAAAAGTCAATAGACCAGACTAGCTTCAAACCACATTTATGCAAGGAAAGAAATAAAAGGAGCACTATAATTATATTTTAACTACCTTTTACTCTCAGCAGCGTCCCATAAATCAGGTACCTTGTCAGTACTGTGGAATGGCATATGATGCTGGATGTCAGCATACAGTAAGTATGCTGACAGTAAATACAGTAAAGACTGTAAGCTGGTTGGCTTTGGCCATCTTGGGCAGTGTGTCCTGACATGATGAAGCCATGACAGCAGATGAATTTCTGTCCATTTTGTCTGGTTTTGGCAGAAAGAAGCTGAGCAGCGGTACTGCAATCTCTGACACCACACCAGGATGTGGCCCAAATGAGGGCACAACGGTGTGCAAGCCACATCACCCCTTACCAGCAATGGCAAATGGCAAATTCATGTCCTGGATCAATGCCATGATGAGAGCTCATTAAGACAAAAGACGCACAACCACAAGGAAAACTCCTGTAGGTGGGAGATGAGAGGGCAGGCAACATGCACTGGGTGACAACCCATTAGAACGGCTCTGAAAGATGACGTGAGAAATCTCCTCATGCAATGCTGCAAGCAAAAAATGCCACATGTACATTTTTAAACACCTTCAGCAGACCAGTACAGCTGATGCATTGAGCTAAATAGGCTGCAGTGGGATAGCTACAAGAGTCTGCATTGTTTCTGTGCTCAGGGAGGGGGGCGTGAGTGGATTCAGAGCTGCATGGTTGCCCTATACTGTAATGTACCCTGCTCAATACAGTAGCCTTTTGTGTAAGAGGATGAGCTAACTGGTTGTTTTGCAGAAGGGGGGGCCTGTTTGCACCACAGCAGCAAGTCAGAACAGCTCCCTGGCAGCCGTGGTGGCAGTAGGCTGAGGGGGCATTGATGGAGGGATGCTGTAACAGATAGCCCCTGTTTCCGAGCTTTTGGCCTCAATCCTATCACATGCACACATCTTACAGGTTTGAACCCAATTGTTTTCGGAGCTCTAAGCTGAGGGATAAACAGGCTTAACTCCCCATAGGTCAACAGGGTGGCAGTTGTCTGTCTCAGGGCTGAATTTGATGCATTATCAGCCAGTTCACAGAAAAGCTTTTGCTCTATCCTACATGCTCATGTTAGTCAAATGTTATTCTTTGAGAAAAATGACAGAGGGAGGAAATTATTTTATCAGGATGTGAAGTAGGTCATTGTTATACTCTGTCTTATCATTTTCCCTATGATAGAAAAAATATGAACTGGATGCTGGCCTTGGAAAATGAAAGCTTTCTTTTTTTTCTTTTCTTGCAGAAACTTGTAAAGCTTGACAGGGAGAGAGGTGAGGGAGTGAGGCAGCACGCTCTGAACATGACGTGATGGACTGCAGCTTGTTCAGGGGAAGGGTATGGCCTGCTCTGCAGGACTGTCACCAAGATAGTGATCTTTGTCAAGAAGAGAGACCCCAAGATCTGGAAAAATAGCCATCTGTGATGCCTTCATCCATTTTTCAAAGAGTTGGATCCCAGTGATTCAACTGAGCTGATCATTGGCAGGCGAATTGGTGAGAAAAGAAAAGGAAAGAATAGGAAGGGAGGGAGAGAGCAAGAAAAGGACAGCAACCCAGGAAAGAAAAGGCAGCTTTTATAAAGGACTGCTCTGACCTACTCTGACTCTAGAGAGGTGCCTTTGAGGCTGTTCTATGAGAACTGTGAGCAAAAGGGGTTAGAGAAGTACAAAATACTGCTACTTATAAATTTAATTTGTAGTTTTAAAATAATATGTATTTGCCAGAGCTTTTTTTAGTTACATTTTCATGCCCTATGTATGGATTTCAGGGTAGTTTTCACTACCTGGGGAATGGTATCAGTAAGTAGCACACATTATTAACACAATAAAGTCTCACCACCCTGCCAGCTAAGTTCTGATAGAATTTAGGACAGGGTACCAAAAACTCACAGACAAAACCCATTGTCGAGATAAACCTGGAAAAAACCCTCACAAAACCAAAACAAAGCACAATTATTTCAAGGCTCCCAAATTCCTAGTTCATTCAGAAAACAAATTAACCATAGCCTCCTATCTGCAGTCCATCTGCAGGAGAACCATAGTGGGAGGTGAGCCCTTTATCTCACTTTCAAAATCCTTTTCAGCTGATCTGGGGTCACAGTTGCTGAAAAGCACTGCATGTCCTGATTTTGTGTGACAGTCACCAATTTGCCAGCTTGTTGTGTAAGCCCCTCACTGCCTCGGGGCTGCCCCCCACACCTCTCTGGGTACACCAGAGCTGGGACCCCTTCCCAGGACTCTCCCTGCTGGCTCAGAGCAGGGATAAAGCATTTGACCCAGCAGGTCACCTGGGCACTGCTGGGGACACACTGGATAAGACCTAGGTGCTGGTAGATAAAGATCTTGGTAAGAAAAATAACAAAGATACCAGCTTTGCCAAACATCTGAGCGGTGGAACTACCCCTGCGTGGAGTATATTGCATTTCACTGCTCTTCTGCTTACTGGGATTTATAACTATTCTTCTGTTTCTGCCACAGGAGACCCATTTACAGAGACAACCTGGAGATGGAGGAGGTCCAAGAACTAAGCTGGAGAAGAAAACATGCTTAGATAATGTGCTGCACACTGGTGGGAGTGATGGAGGAGAGAGCTGAGCAAAGACAGCTCAGTTTGGACACATCTCTGAGGAGCCAGAGTAGAGCTGCCTGCATTGGAAACGGGTGTGATGTCTGCAGCACAGGTTACTCTTGGCCAGACTGCTTGTCAGCCAACAGGTGAATCCCCTTATTAGGTTTCCGTAGCCGGCACAACCCCTCTAGTTCCCCAGGTGGACTCCCGATACAGCTGTCAAAAATCTAGTCTGCCATGCTTCTGTTCCTTAGGGGTTCTTTCCAGCATCTGGGAAAACTTTCCTTTCTCCTATGCATTCCCTTCCCTGTTAGAGAAGACTAGCGAGTAACTTTTCTGCCATAGTTTTCCTGAGAGTTGTGACGCTCCTGGAAAGAAACCCTACTGGCTGCCTCTGCTGGTTCCTGCTCCAGCCCTGCTGTTACCCCTGATATGACCTCTCTTCAATCCATGCTGGAACTGAGGTGACCTGCATTCATGGGCATCTTCATGCAACTGCACAGGCAGATAGATCTCCATGGCCTTCATGCCCAAGTGGACTGCAGTCCAACATCTCCCATGTATGCTCCTACCCCAGTCTTCAGTGACATAACCTGTATTCCTGAAGTCATCTATCTCAGAGGTATTTTCTGTACAGCAAACATTTTCTTTTTTAGAGAGGCTAAAAACCCTTCATCAGTTTTCTTTACAGGGTTATGTGAGGCATCGGTATTGTTTTCACACTGATTAAATATCCAAAGTCTCCTTGAATGGGGATGAACCCCAGCAGTCCATATGGACCAAAATTCATTGGCCTACTCTGTGCACCCCACCCACACACCATACCCAAACCCCTCACTTTGCCAGAGTTTCAGGACTGCTTCAGAGGGGAGTCAAGATCCAGAGCAGCCTGGCTGACCTGGGGTTTCTTTCCCAAAATGCCCCCCTTATGGCACAACAGATATAAGGGGTCTGGTCTCCCAGGCCTGCTGAGAAAGAGCTGGGAGGTGCCAGGGAGACTCCAGCTATGCCATAGGAGATGCAGGGCTTGTTTCTGGACCAGGGAGTCTTCAGTGGCCAGGCCTAAAAATGCTGACACTTTTACATTGATAAAGTAAGTGCAGGAATAGCTCTTTGCATTTCAGGTGCAGGGCTGTGTAAGAATGAGGTCCCTTATGAATGTGACAGACCTGGCTGGAGAACCAGGAAGAGGCAGCTACAACCCAGGCTGGTGTAGAGCAGGGAGTGCAGAGGGAGGGAGTTAGCAGTGAGGCAGGAGAGAGGTTTTTGACATCTTAAACCCAAATGCAAACACTGCGAGAGGATCGGAAATGCAAGAAAGTCATCAGTCAATGTGCTCCCTAGGCAGAGAGAAGCAGGACACTAAACAGTCTTATAATGCTGAGTGATATGGTACTTGTAAAATAGGCTCAGATCGGGCTGAAATGGTCACCAGCCAGAGTGATCAGAGCTCGGTCAATACTTGCAGGGGAAATCCACCACCTCCCCACCACTGTGGGGTGTCCCCAGAGGCACCTCTCACTGGGCCATACACATCCTTGTATGAGGGGTCAAACCAGCTTCCTAATGGGGCCCTTCACTTTTGTTAACAATGCTGGGATGTGAGGAGAGCAGAGAGATCTGTCTGATTCACAGGGATGCTCCCATACCTGCTTCTGTACCCTCCCACTCACGGAAACTTGGCCCAGCCAATACATCTGTGCTGATCTGCCTTTGCAGACAGCTTGTCCCCTGCATTTTTAGTTGGTTACTCTGAAAGTCTGAAAAACAACAACTGGTTTTAGTGTTATCTCTTTTGGAGCCAGCCACTTCCTCTTGGTATCAAACTTGGAAGAACCCCATAGCCACTGCTGAAAAGCCTTTTCCCTTTCCACATTTAAAGATCTTTTCCAAAAGTGGTTGCTAGGATGTCTTTGGTGGTGATTGAAAGGCTTGGAACAAGCCAATGCAAGTGTTCGTTTTATTGAAAATGAGCAGGATGTTCTTCCCTGATAGCTGCCTGACTTTGAGGGCTGGAATCACAGGAAAGCAGCCACAGCTCCAGGGCAGCTTAGCAGAGGAGGAAAGTAATGGTTTTTCTGTGCTGCATGGTAACACAAAGGCAGGAAACCAAAGAGCAGGATTCACTTGGTGTGGAGCAAACCCTGCCATCCAAAACAGCACTGTTCTGGCTCAGGTGGATGTATGTGGAGGCTCCCAGGTGCCTCCCTGATCTCCAGCTTAGCTGAGCCAGCTGTGCCCATCCCACATCCCTGCTGCTGGCAGCCACAGCTGGGGAGGAGCAGGCACTTCTCAACCCACCATGCTCCCCACCACAATCTACTTTGGGAGAGAACTGTGAGCAGATTTTTTATACTGGAAAGCAGTTATACAGGCATTGTATTTCTTTTTTCAGGGATAGAATGAAAACTTCCAATTCCCAAGCCATTAGGACAGCACTTTTCAACCATAATAGGTATACATAATCAAACATAGAAGCCAGGCACAGTATAAAGTTTTCTTTCCCTTTCAAGCATCCCATCTCTTCCTGGGACTCCCTCACTAGCATACAAGGCTAGGCCTGAGAAATTGCAAGCTGGAATACATTAAAATCCATTGGAGCTGAATTTTAACATGAAGAGTTGCCAAAACAGTACTACCAGCATGGCTCTATGAGGCAAACCCTTCCAGAATGGTTTACTTTCACAAAGTAGTGTTTTCACCAGTCTGGTTTTAAACAGTTTTCTGACATAATGAAATTCCAAGGACTCCTTTGCTGAATAACCTTGGCAGATTAATGTCTTTTCTTAGCTAGGGAGGGAGCAGACAGAATTCACATGCCAAACCCCAAAACTCTACAGGAAAACTTCTGCTGAGTGCAAACTGAGCCTCAGTTTGTCAGTGTTTGAGAAGGTACTTTGTAGATGTCATGAAGAAGTCCTCAGACTAAAGATGTGAATGAGGGCAGGGCACAACTGGTAGATAAGGTGATCCTGGCTACAAACCTGCTTCTTCTGCTGCTTTACAGGTCTCCATATCTTTAACAGAGAGAGTTAGAGCAAGGACAAAAATGCTGAACCTCTCCCAGCTCTGGTAGTTGTGGAGAAGCGACATAGGGGCTTGGAGCACCAGCCTCTGTTAGGTGTAAATACAAACCACTGAAAAGCATCAGAACTTTCCCACTGAAGTAAAGGCATCGGGAACAGGAGATTAATGGGTTGCCAGCTGTGTTGGCATGATAAGCCAAGCAAGAACCCAGACTCTCAGTCGAAAATGGATTGAGACCTCAGCAGGGACACATGGCAAATCAGCCAGAAGTCACACATGGAAAACTGAGCAAGGCAGCATGGGCAAACATTCCTTATCTTCACTTTACGTCAATAGAAATGGCATTGTAAAAGAGGCAGCAAAGTATTTGCTGGAGAGGAGGAGTGAAAAGTCCACAAACTTTCTTGGCTGTACATGTAGGTTTTAAAATGCTACTGTTTTCCTCGGAAACTTGTCATTGAAAACAAGCATCCAGCAAAAACCACCCAGCAAGTTCTTCCAGAAGGCTTGTTTGCTTGTTTTGGTGGATTTAGCTGAGCTGTGCTGGCAGGAATCTGCCTGCCACTGCTGTTGTGCTCCAAAGGCGGTTGGGAAAGTACAACCTCTTAAACCAGTCTAAAGCACAGCTGTGATAATTACACCATCTACTATGATTTGCCACAAAATAAGAGTCAGGGGAGAGGCAGACCTCAGAAGTCTGGGCTTTCTACAAGGTGATGTTGTCTGCAGCCACATCCCTGTTTCCCACAGCTCCTGCTTTTACACTTTTACAGCAGCCTAGCCTAATTACCTCCATTGGCCTTTTCTTTGTGTTCTAGTTTTATTGTTTTTGTTAAGGCTAATTAACAGAGGAGTGGATGAGTCCCAGTTTTCTTGTGTAGATTTTTTTTTTTTTTGGTGGTGGTGGTGTTACTTTTTATTTTGCTGAGTTTTCCTTTTGCTTTTAAGCAATTGTATGTAAGAAAATAATCTTTCCTACCAGAGGCAATACTGAGAAAGAAGAAGACTCAGCAAGGAGAATAACAATTAAGGTAAAGCCATGAGGTTTTGCCTCCTTCTCTCTCCATTTTGCAGCCCCACCCTGAGTGGGTAATGGGCCCTGACTGCAACTCTGCTGTCAGTGCCCTGGAGCAGGGAAAGGCACAAATATTCCCTCCACACAGGTGTGCAGGTGTCAGTGGGAGGTGAGCTGGGAGAAAAAACAGGCTGGGATAAACACAGCTGAAGCCTCACAGCCTGGATCTGTATGGCCCCTGGATCCATCCCTGCCCTGCAGATCCTTGGGCTGGCCGCTGGTCGGAGCAAAGCTCATGGCTGGGTTATGGGTAGGGCTGGGATCACTGCAGCTGGGTGTCTTAGGGCAGGGCCACCCACTGCACACCGGTGGGGAGCTGCAAATCCCCACTCCAGATGCACAGGGCTCTGCAGGGACTTTAGCTGAGTGCCTGGGAGCTGGTTCTGGAAACATAAAGGTGCTCTGTCAAAAGATCCAGTTGTTCAGGTATCAAAGTAAAGATATTAATAAAATTAACCTCAAAATAGTGGTAAAACAGTGTATTTTCATATAATGTCATAATTAAGGAACACAGAGTCTCTGTGTTTGCAGTCCCTGACACCATAGTGATGGACATGATTCAGGAACAGATACAGATGACCCAGTAGCTGAGTGACTGAGCATCTCCCTCTTAACATACGCATGGAGAAAATGAATGGAAAAACTGGAATGGAGAAAATGGAAAATCCATGGTGCTGCACTGCTTTCTGTTTTTCTCAGGAGAGGAACTTCAGGCAATGTGTCTGTAAAGCACTGAGCAGCTTCCACTTTTCCTGACCCCACCAATTTCCTCTGCACAAACTATCCATATGGATTTGACGGGTGGCCTCTGAGAGGCCCTGAGGCCTCATATGTCTCAGTAAGTCAAAACGTATGGGGTAGAGAAGCCATGTCCCTGCCTAAGCTTCTGCAAGTCCCTCAGGGTCAAGTTAAGTGCAAGCCTGATCCTGTTCTCTGAACCAGGCTTGCCTGATGCACGCTTTAATCTGCCCAGCCTCACTAGGCTGGGTTTCATCTCAGCTGCAGAGCTCAAAAGGAGGTGACCCCTGTATTGCCCCATGGGGTCCTGGGGAGCTCAGCATCCCCACCAGACCAAGGGGCACATCTCCATGGCTGGCCCACTCTCAACAGTTTCAAGCTGTTTCAAGCAGGAGCTCAAGAAACAAGAGGGCTGTGGGACTTGAAGGCTTCTCTGGAGTCATGTACCCCTTTTAGTGTTTCTGTGAGTCTGCTTCTGCCCTCAGATCCAGGGGCTCCGCAGGGATGCCAGGGTGAGTCAATCCATTAAAAGCTGTGCACTGCTGAGACACCAAGCCTACAGCTACATAAAATAACAAAACAGTCCACTGGCATTCCCAGCCATCCCCAGGGAGACAAGAACGGGAGAGCTGTGCCCAAGCCACCTGCTGAGAACCACCCTGGCTCCTGAAACATGCCTGGGCATTGGCTGCAGGAGTATTTGGTTGGTCTGGGACAAACTCCTGCAAGGACAATGCCAACCATTTAACTGTATAGGCAGCTGTCTGGGCCTGTGCCTTGACTCCTCTTTATTAATTTATTAGTACCTTGCTGCTAGCCTACACTTGTACAGACAGAGAGCTTGCCATGAAAAAGGACAATAAAGTGCCTGTGAAGGGAAAGTTCAAAGCATTATATTTGTTTTGTAAGAAAAAGATGCATTCTCCTCTGCAGTTCAGTCCCTTTGGTCACTACAGAGCTGGGTTTGGTCAGTGCAGGTAGTGTGATTTTTTTGTGCAGTGCCTGCCAGAGGGAACCTCGGTGGCCATGCATCACTGCCACCCCAGCAGTTACTGCTGCTGCTGTTATGAACAGTACTGCAGCCAGGTTTAAGACAGGGATGTAATGCTCTGAGTGGCCAGCTTACCAAAGAGAACAAAGAAATTATTATAGGGCCAGGGAAAAAATAAGGGGGAAAAAGCTAAAAGAAAACAAAGAGCCATTGACAAGAGACACAAATTAGCTGGGTCTCAAGTGTCCTTCCTCATCTGATAAAACAAAAATGTCCAGAGCAACAATTAACAAAAAAGTATATGAGGGGTAGAATATCTCTGTTTAGCTCCAGGTACTGACTTCTGTACAGGGCTCTATTTTTCTGTTGTTCCCATGCTTTGGGTTGTCTTGGGTCTTGGTTAATGTAGAGCTGGTTGCGTGGGGGGGCGGGGGCGGGGGGGGGGGGGGGGTGGTGTGTGTGCAATCCCCACGGGGAAAAGACAAAGCTGCCTTTTGCAAAGAAAGAGAAGCCCTCCTGAAGGGCAAAAAGGAGCAAAGTGGACTCAGAGGATACAGGAGTGTGCTTTGACTGCTTCTAAGGAAATATAACTAGAGGTAGGAATTGGCACTGGAAAAGCACTCAAAACCAGAGGCAAATCCAGCAGGTGTTTAGGGTTGGGAAGACAGTGCTGAATAAAAGCAATGCAACAGAAAACTGTGGAGAGTGCTGCTCCTGGGCTGCTCTGGGGTACATTGGTTGTTGTTGGCTCTCTGGCCAGCACTGAGGTGAGGGAAGTGTGGGCTGCCCCTGCAATAGGGCCTTATGAACAACAGGGAGCCGAACACACTTCACTTTTGCCACGGCACAGAGAAAGGAAGTAATCTGTTCTCCACAGTATGTGAAGCAAGTAATGAGCTCAAACTGCAGCATGGAAAGCTCAATACATATGGTAGAACATACTTTCCAGAGGTGTGGGCAATTGCATATTGCAGTTGCCTCCAGGGACTGAGGCATCTCCAGTAAGGTGAAACACCCAGGGCTGTCAGGAATGGTTATGGACAGCTCATTTTGTTTCTAGGTAGCTGGGATACAGTGGTGTTTCCTGACAATTGCTCTTCCAACCATACCTTTGTAAAACAATCCAAAGATTGTCAAGTGCTATGGTTCCATGCTGATTTTCACTGACAACAGAAAGAAAACCAGACAAAGCCTAGGGTGTATTTCAGTGCTCTTGCTCCCTCACTGTAACATTTGTTTCTGTATGTGGAAGTAGATGCACCTGTTCCATTCACTTTTTCTCCATTCACTTCACCGATCAGCTCCTTTTGTCCTGTGGATTGCCTGTGTGTCCCTGAAGGGCAGCCTGAAAACCACAGGAGCAGATACCCTCATGGGAGCCCATCTGGGTCCCTTCCTTGTGTGTGCCCAGCTGACCAGTGCCAGTCACTGCCCCAGGGGATCACTTGTCTCTGTGTGTGAGGCACACGTGGATGTTGGGTTCTGAGCAAAGCCCTGCCTGTCTCGTGCTGCTGCCACTGCCTGTGAGAAGACATAATCAAGACCTGTCAGATGCTAGGTGCTGTTAAGTGCTGTCTGTCCTGGATTGTAGATTGCTCTCCAGCAGAGAAAGATCACAGAAACAAGAAATGACACTTGTTTCTTACAGTCTTGTGTTTGAAAGAAGTTGTTCTTAGCTATGTTATTATCATTTACCTGTATCACACCGTCTCTCTATAGCCTCACTCTCTCTCCATTTGGTTTGCAGTGGTTCCTCTTTCCTTCCCTGCTGGATTGACAGGCTCAGCTGGAACACTCGAAATTGGTGTAAATTCCTTTGACTTTGTACAGCACCTAGTGGTGCCATGGATTATTCAATCAACATTAACCCAACAATCTTATTGCCATAGCATGAAGCAAAAGGAAAAAGCCCTCTTTGTTAGTAAATAATTAAAATTTCTTTTGTCAGTAAATTGAGGAAGCATGAATTGAAGAAATAAAAACATTTTTTCCCCCCAAAGCAGTGGGAACAGGATTCTGTAAACCCCTATGCAGCTTGCTTCCCTGTTAACTGAAGCGTAAGTGTTCTGAATGCGTTCAAGGCCTCTCTCCCCTGACTGGAGCTCTTCTGCATGGCTTGTCCTTCACAAGATAAGTGACAATAATAAATTGTCCTACTTAAGCAAGGGACCTATTTCACCTCCTCACCACACTCATTAAAAAATGGCAATGCTAAATACACTTAAAGGTCAAAGGCCTGGTATGCAAAATAGGTCCTGTGCAGAAAACTGATGGGCTTCTTAGGGTTTTGTCGCTATGGTGCTATTGCCTTGACAAGGTAAAATATCCCTTGTCAGCCTCTGTGGGAGCCTAGACAGAGAAGGAACCATCAAAAAATAACTGAATACTGTCTTTGACTACAGTCACTGAGTGGTTAATGTTTTTTTAACTTTAATCATCTTTGACTTCAGGTTTGGCTATTAACCCACCAACTGATCATTAACTCTACTGACTGAATGACTGATTTCCAGAGGATCAGTCCAAAGAAGGATTGGTTTTTAGTTTGTTGGTTTTTTTTTTTTTTTCCCTGAAGGACTTTAATATCTCCTAATAGCAGGCAGACAACCTATTGAATCCCCTGTAAGATTTGGGCTGAGCAGGGAGGTATTGCAGGTTATCTGCATAGAAACACACTGCTCAGAGCTGATAAACTCACTGACACTCTATCCTGTTTTCCAATTTAACTCAAGCCTTGCTAAGCAGCAGGAGTAACCTGACTGAATTATTGAGGGTCACAGCTTGAGGTCCTTAATCAACATTCCTAGCTTAATCAACGGGAGTTTGGCAAGCCTAAAATGCTAATCAGGATATTTCTGGTATTTACCCTGGTGCTTGTCCTTTTCTTTCCAAAAGAGCTGGTTAAGGATAAATATAATGTTGATGCAGAAATGATCAAATGTCATTTGGACACCCTTTTTAAAGCACTTTTGTCTTTAAAATGCCTACAGTTGAAATTTTCTAAAAGAAATATTTCTGGTTAGAGAATGATCTGCTAATAAATGAATTGAACCATTTTTTTCATTAATAAACTATTCCAACTCACAGTCCATATCCTAAGCCACAAGACCATCCTGCCTTCCTGACTTGAGATCCACAAGACCTAAGAAGCTGACTGACTCAGCAGAGAAGGGCTGGGATTGGACTATGTTTGCTATGTGTATCTTTCTTCCAAACATGACACAGACAGAAATAAATTAGGAAAAAGCCTCTTGTACACTGGCTCTGATTTCTCACTGGGAATCACTGGGATCTTGATTGCCCCCTGTGGTATGAGAATGAATTAAGCTCATATTTATAAATTGCAGTCTAACCATTTGTGCTGACAGACACAAATGTCAGGAAATATGTAGTTAGTTACACTGGTGCTGCATCTTTAACTTTCATTTTAAGTACCTTTGTCATACCAGGGGAAACAGAATAACACATCTGGAATGAAAAGATTTCTTCTAGACTTCTCACACTAACTATTTCCAGCTTTCTTCCAGATAGGAGTTTTCAGCAAAATGTTGTCTAATTGAAAAATTCTGTTTCCTTAAAACTATTGTTTTTCTTATGAGACCTCCAAAAGAAAACATGCTCAATACATCTCTCCAACAAAAGTAATGAGGAAAAGATTTTGAATATCAAAGCATCCCTTTTTCCATTGTTGAAATTTAGAATAATGTTTTCTTTATTCATATGTCTTCTACAATTTAAATAATTTTACTTTTAAGTAAAAATAATAAAAAAGTCTTGAAAGCACTGAAATTTAATATCACCATTGACTCAAACTGCAAATATTTGCAGTTTGCCTGCAAATATTTTCCACAGCTTTGTTTTCCATCCCAATTTGTGACTTTTTCCATTTCAAGCACCTTCTCTTGGCTAAAAATGGTAGCCAGATATTTTGTGCCTGAATAAAAAATAGGATGAAATTTCAGC